TTCTTAGAGTATATTCCTAGAAGTGGGATCACTGGGTCAAATGGCAGTTCCATTTTTAAATTTTTGAGGATACTCCATATTTTTTTCCGTATGCTGCACAGTCTGCATTCCCATCAGCAGTGTATTAAGGTTCTTTTTTCTCCACATCCTTGCCAGCACTGGTCATTTGTTGATAGTAGCCATTGTGACAGGTGTGAGGTGATATCTCATTGTCATTTTAATTTGGAACTCTTTGATGGTTAGTGACTTTGAGCATTTTTTCATATGTCTCTTGGTCATCTTTATGTCCTCTTTGGAGAAGTGTCTGTTTAGATCCTTTGCCCATTTTTTAAATTGGATTATTTATCTTCATTTTGTTAAGTTGAATGAGTTATGTATACATTTTAGAAATTAAGCCCTTATCAGATGTATCAATGGCAAATATATGCTGTCATATAGTGGGATCCCTTTTCATTTTGTTGTTGGGCTTTTTTGCTGTGCAGAGCTTTTTGTTTTGATGTAGTCTCATTGTTTATTTTTTTCCTTTTGTTTCCCTTGCCCTAGGAGATAGATCAGCAAATATATTGCTATGAGAGATGTTTGAGATTTTTCCGCCTGTGGTTTCTTCCAGGATTTTTATGCAGACAATAATGCAGCGAAGGCCTGGGAGAAGCTTGAAGCAGGATGGAGGGGGGAAGGGGAACATCTATAATACTTTCAATAATAAAAATAATTTTAAGAGGTGAAAAAAAGAAATGCTAGGACACCCTATGTCTTTGTGTCATTAGCTTTTAATTCAAAGTCTTAGGCAAATGCACCTGATTAAATAAATAAATAAGAATTGTTTGGTCAAGTCTCCACATACTAGTATTGTGGGATTTTCCAATTAGCTTTCTCTTGCTAATTTGTAGTTTAATTCCATTGTGGTCTGCTGAGAGCATACCTTGCATGATTTCTGTTTTTATTTCTATTTTAAAGTGTGTTTTATGCCCAGAATGTGATCTATGTTTGTGAATGTTCTCTGTGAACTTGAGAAGAATGTGTATTCTAGTATTGTCAGATGAAGTGTTCTGCAGATGTCAGTTATATCAGGTTGATTGATGGAGCTGTGCAGTTCAACTATGTTCTTACTGATTTTTCTGCCTTATGGATCTGTCCATTACTGATAGGGTGTTGAAGTCTCCAGCTATTGTAGTGGATTCATCTATTTCTCCTTGCAGTGCTATCAGTTTTGCCTCACATAGTTGGATGCTCTGCTGTTAGACACACATTGTTAAAGATTGTTAAGTATTCTTGGAGAATTGACCCCTTTATAATTATGGAATGCCTTTCTTTGCCCTGATAACTTTTCTTGTTCTGATATCTGCTATGTCTGAAATTAATATAGCTACCCTTGATTTCTTTCAATTAATGTTAGAATAATCTATCTTTCACTATCTGTATTTCAAAATAGATATTTTCCTACTCTCTGTGCCAGAGACTGGGGGTCAGGAGGGTTGTTCATTCTTTACTGTGAGGACCTGATGGGGCTCCTGGAAGTAAGATTCATAAAAGTATGGGGGCACCTAACAATGAAGATTCAGACTTGTTCACACTGAACCTCCAATAATGTGTCAATTAGGGTTTAGATTTTTCTACCCCATTGCTGGTTCTCACTGAGATTTCTGCTCTGGTGAGCTGTAATTCTCTGTATCTACCTGTTTGTCCTAGGACCTCAATTATCTGATGAGTTGTCTAAGAAGAGTTGTTGATTTCATTTTGTTCAACTTTTTACTTGTTATGACAGAGTGATGATTTCCAAGCTTCTTGCATGCTGTACTGTAAACTCTGATTCTTTATGATTCATTTTTCATGTCGGTAGAAAGTTTTTTATTGTTATTGTTGTTACAGGGGTCTTTTGAGATTCATGCAGTTCAAGTTTGAAGAGTTGAGATTAAAATATTTCAGGCAAACCATTTGTTAAAAATCAAATAGGAAATAAATTGACTTGTGTCTTTAGATAAGATTGCAAAGAAAATTGCTTCCACTTTATGAGTTTCCCCTGCACAAAACACTTTATTTCATTGTTTACAAAGTTTTCCTTGCAGTTTTCGGAGTTTCACTTGGAAAAAAAAAATACAGAACGGAAACTCAAAGCCTATAAGGGAGAGTAAAAGAGAAAGAGAAAAGTTCAGTTTATCCACAGACATTCCCAAGCCTCAATTCCAAATCTAGCCTTCCTCAGCCATTATGTAATTACTAGGGGCCCAGTGCATGAAATTTGTGCACAGGTAGGGTTCCTAGGCCTGGCTGGCTATCAGGACTGATCGGGGCCTTCCAGCTGGCTGGCAGGGCCTTCCCTTGCTGGCTGCCGCTTGAGCCTTCCTTCATTTCACACCTGGTATTCCCACACGTCGTAGTGAGTGATTGAATTGCAGTCTCTGGTCGAACTCCTGAGGGAACACTTTGCATATTAGCCATATATATATATATACACACACACACATATATACATACATATATATAGTACTGCATCAGGCTGTGTATAAGAAAGAACATATGAAACCCCAAGCAACAACTTAACTTGCATCCTTCATAACCGGGCAAGGTACTTTGATAATGAGGCTATAGAGCAACTCTCCTTTCTAAGGGTTTGGTATGACAACGACTACTTCAATTAACAAGAATATTTGGTACCACCTGCTTTGTATAAAGCCTTAGTTAGATGCTAGTAAATTAATCCTACCTTTCAAAACCTAATATTTGGTTGTGGGGTTGTATCATCTGTAAAATGGGAGGTAAGAATAGTTCTTATAAGGTTACTAGGATTAAGTGAGATGACACTGAGAGATATCACTTGTGCACCATAGGTTAGTTTCCATTCCCTTTCATTCCAGTATAATCCTCTAAGTGCCATTATTAACAGCGGGCAGAAGTGTCCACAAACATGCTTTGTTTGGGCCTCATACTATCTTATTTTTTAATTTGAATTACTAGTATCAGATGACACTTTAAATATTTTTAAGTTCACAAAAGTCTGGATTTCTAGTTTTTCCTGAAATTCACAATGTCTGGGACCTCCATGAGATATCGCTTTTGGAGCCAAGTGGCAGTTACCCTCTTCCATTACTCTAGTCTCCACCACTCCTTGTTATCTTGTGCCTACTTCACTTACTTGGCTATAGCTTTCTTCATAGGTGGAACAAAAGAAAAGATTGTGGCAATCATCAGCATAAATTATTCCAAAGTCAAAGAAATTCCAGCAAAATAGGGATATTTTGCCTGAATTATGGGGCTAATTATCTCAGTCCTCTATTCGAGTGTTCCTGGGGAGACCTGGCCTGAGAATGCTCTTCCAATGAGCTGGCAAATTTAGAAAGGGAGAGAAAATGTGTTATTGTAACCACAGCTGGAGCCTGGTGCTGCCTCTGTCCAGAACACCAATGGGGAACATCTGAGTCCAGCCTGCCTCTCAGAGGAGCATGGTTGCCTAGAAAAGCCGGGCTCTGGAGAAGGTGATCATGCTCTGCACGCTGGTGAGAGAGGAATGCCAGTGCCCAGAGAAGTGACACTGGCTTACTTTTCAAAATCTTCACAATTTGAATGCTCTCATAGAAGTTATAGGTGATTTTCCCCCAACAACTTTTAGAACTAAAAAAGGGCAACTTATTAATGAAACAGTTCTGCTCTCAAAGTATAATATTAAAGGATTATTATAACTACAGGCAAGAAAGCATTTGGGTTATGTGGCATTTGGAAATGATGATAAAGATTATCCATATGGTCTAATGTTGTCACTGCCTTACACTGCATTAGCAATCACCTAATTTGGGGGTAATTTTGATTATGTGGCTTATTTTAAATTCTGCTGTGTCCTAGATCAATCACAGTCAATAGCTGCCATTTTCTTTAGTAAATGTTGCGAGGTGCTTAGGCACAATTAGAATATGTTGGGACATAAAATTTTAGGTATTATGGTGCCATGGTCCTCTTAAGACTTCACTTTTTACCATCTCTAATTCTATTTTTGTCTGTCTTTGGTGCATAAAACCAGCTCCAGCAGTAACAGCTATAAAGACATGTTTGATCTGTTTATTTGGATATCAGTTCCCCTTAAGTTTATGGCTTTTGTCTAGGTATCTGCAACTTTAGGAGCTTTTAGTGGTCAGTGAGAAGGATGTAGAGTAAGCATGTCAAAATCAAAGACTAACTCGGGCCAAATAAACGATGCGTGAGAATTTGACATCCTTGTTGTAGAGGCCAGTGTTAAACTGTGTCTCCAGAAGAACTGGAAATATCTCTGCTTTCCTCAGCGCTTTGCCTCCTCTTCCATTGCTACTCAACTTTCCAGGGTAGCCACCAGGTTGAGAATTTTTTACTTTCTGCTCTGTTAAGAAACCTTGGTGGGAAACTAATTTGGGTTCCTTTGGGGTTTTGTCCAGTGCCATAGCTTTCTGGGAATTGAGGGCTGCCCTCTAGGGCTCCCACAGCCTGGGCTCCTCTCCCCTGTGTGGCTCTGCATCACGCCTGCTCCCTTTGTGCACTTCTCACCTCACTCTGCTCATTAGTTCTACCATATGCCTCTTAGATTAATTTTTAGACTGTTAGAGTTGTGTTTGGCAAGTATACGTACTAGGGGGGTCTGCTCTGTGGCACTGAATATGGAAATGAAGAAAAAATTTTAGCAAAAGGTTAGTAACTAGAAGCATATCAGTAAATATAAAATGATTATGTTGCACTACGTTAAAATGGGCATTGTCCTTTTTAATTTAGCTTATAATAGCGAGAACAGAAACGAATGTTTTAGGCCATCCAGTCCTAGCATCACTGTGGGAATGTTTAAGGCTAGGCAGTGGCTGATTTTCACCTCCATCTCTCTGCAGCTGACAGAGAACCTGATATCTAGAAGGCACAACAATTCAATGTTATGAATGAATACGATTAATTCAATATAAGTTATTCCTAATCATTTGTCCATGCACATGTCAGCATCCCATTTTTTATTCAGATGCATGCCTACATAATGAACTCTTTGTCCCAAGGAAACTGGCCAAGAAGCGGAAGGAGACAATGAGCAGCACGCGACAGGAGATGACCGTGATGGTGAACTCCATGGACAAGAGCTATGCTGAGCAAGGCACAAACTGCGACGAGGCCTTCTCCTTCATGGACACCCACAATCTGAACGGGAGGTGTAAGTGCGCATGTTTCTTGGCTTCTCATCCATCTCTGTGGTTTTCCATTATCCCATTACAGTTCTGGAAAGACTTAGAGAGCAAGGGCTTCTCTCCTCTCCGAGAAGGCACATGCTTCTCATCATTATTTTGTTGTTTAGATGCCATTTGTAAGCTAACCAGGTGTTGAATTACACATAGGAAGTCAGTAAAAAAAAAAACAAACAAAAAAAACAGTTCACTAAATGCCAGTAACCAGTTAATTGGTGATTTTTTTAGCTGATAGGCTCTGCCTTTAGTATAGGGCTATCAGCGGCAATTAATAAGTTAAACTGTATTTCCACTTCACAAGTCTTACATTTCACACCAGGTGGGGTACCGAGCTCAGCTCATACCTTCCCATACTGACACCTGTGATCCAGGTACAGGCATTATTTCGGGAAGCCAACAATTATGTTGATTATACAAAATACAAAATGAGCAATTGCTGTGTCCCTGGAGATCTTCTCAGAAATCAGAAATAAATCCCATGGTGTATGCCTGACTCTGTGGTTCACGGCCCTGTTGGGTTCAAGGTCAGAGGTTTCTTTGCCATGTGAAATCCATGCCACAGGTGGCTGCTCACCGTGGCTGCATGATCAGGTTGTAGGACAGCATGGGGATGGAATAAAAGTGCACTAATAAAAGTGTGTCAAGGCTGGGGACCTCATGGCTTAGAGGCACAGGAAACTGGTCTCTGCGGGGAGAGGGCATATAGCAGGATGGACAGCGTGTGCTTGCTTGTGTCCTGACCACCCATCTGGCCTATTCTGATTCTGTAGCTCCCCCCATCCACGTCTCTCCAGTCACCATCCTGTCACCACATCTGCCTTCTCTCAGGCCTTGCCTTTCTCCTACATTCAGCAAAGCTTCATAGAATTCCATTGCCTACTTCTCTGTGTGGTGGCTACGGTTGTCCACCTATTCCTACTTAGAGGTGCTACATTTATGCACAATAAACTTTATCATAATGCTCTAGCCTGGTGCAGCGGGAGTTCAGCAGAAACAACTTTGACCCCTGTGGGCAGCCCAGCACTCCTTGTCCTTAGTAATTGTCCTTAGCCCTGCCCTGTCAGCTTCAATGTAGGTGACAGAATCGGTGGTATATCATAAGCTATATATTGCATTTTTCATTTTATGATTCATCAGTTGTGGGCTGGTATGGGAGAAGCCCTTCCCACCCAAGACAAGGTTAGAATTTTTGTAGTGGCAGTTATTTCTCAAATGATACTATATAGGAGGCCACATGTTCTCACTTTCCAAGATAACCCATTAATGTCCCAAATTTTCTATTTCATGGTGCAATTCCTCATGCATAAATTTATTTGGAATTACCTGCCCGAAGAGCAGAGACCTACATTAATATATTCTAGGCTTGTGAAGTTTGAACAACAGGAGATATTTGCCTCTGGACAGGAAATTTAATTTGATATTACTTTTTCAAAAGTGAATGTATCTGTGGCAATCCAAAAATGCTCATGCACAGAGGACTGCTGCAGAAGCCAGCGTCAGCTCCCAAGCCAGCTCATTTGCTATTAGGCATTATTGTGGGCCTCCCATCAATGTAGCCAATAGAAGAAACAACGCAATAGGCATTCCATTTTCTTCCCGCTCTTTGAGCAATGAATAGATCTCATCAAATTCCATCTATCAGGAGTGACTCTAATAGTAAACTTTATTATAATGCTCTCTCTCTTAATGCCTTTAAAATAAGAGAGCAGTTACTGAGGGAGGAAAAGGATTCATTAGGCCACTGAGGTTCCAGCCCCAAACTTATTACAAATGTAAGAATGTTTGAGATCTTTTAGGTTTGGGAGAAAGTGCTAGCACTTGGGAAAGGAGTACCTTTTGGAAATGCAACAGCGAAAAATGAGATTGGACAATTTAAAAATCAGCACAAGTATTATCTATCCACCATAGTAAAGGGGAGTTGTACATAAAAAAGGAAGAAAATAGATAGGCATAGTGGGAATGAGATTAATTTTGTGTACTAAAAACCTAAAGTATTTAAAATACCTTTTATTTAAAAATGAAAATAAACGTGATTATTTTGTGTCTGCTTTGCACATTTTACCAACCATGTAAAAATGTCTGCAGGTAATAGGCATTATTCTTGCTGACCCTCGCATATTTTATAGGTACTCAGGAATTTTGTTCTTATTTTCATCAATTGCTCTCTTTTTTCCTGGCAGCTTACCATAAACATGCATTATAAATGTGATACTTTTTTATTTTAGAAACATATATTGTAAATAATAGGCAACCTGGGTTCTGGTTGCTGCTCTGTTGTTCACTAATTCTACCCTTTAAAAACAGAAATGCAGGTAAAACACCAACCTTAAAGGAACTTCTCCAAGAGAGCTAAATATATTAGCATGTCATCAGAATAAAGGTAACACACAATACCATCAGGATTTGGTATTGGTTCCCATAATACAATGATGTACCTGGGTAGGAACTCAACACCTAATAAAACATATGGCTTCATCACAGGAGTTAAAATTTAGACTTACATTAACCTGCTTGGGCACATTCAAATTATTTATCTGAACACTTTAATGAGATTAAAGTGTTTTTAAAGCACTAATCAATTAAGACATTGAAGGGAATTAGCGAACTAAAAACGAAAAATACCCAATTACAGTGGAATCTCAGCTAAATTAGATGGGATTGACTTTCCTCTTAATGACAGAGCGGAAGAGGTTGAATCTTGAGAGATTTAGAGGAATATTTCAAATAAAAAGAGCATTTTATATGGATTGAAAAGACAAGTAGGACAATATGTGGGCCTGCAGAGTTGACCTGACATGCAGCACACAGGAAACCTCCCCTTTATTTTCCATACAACAGGGCTGGCAGTTCTCTGCGTACCCAAAAGATGAGAAAGGAGGGGATTTTGCAAGTTATAAAAATCATGTGTGGACACATGCTCATACTCTTAGTTGAGAAAAATCAGTTCAACTTGATAGTAGCATTTACAGGCAAAGGCTAGAAGTCAAAGTAGAAACCTAATAAATTTCATAAAAATGGCAGCTGTGGTTATTGGTTTTTCTTCATCTGTGGGGTAAGAAAAGCTTACATGATAAGAGGGTGCTTATTCTCTAAAAGACTAGTTCCCCGGAGAGAGCAGAAATGGTAACATTTACCATAGGGACTTCAGTAAACCTGTGTGTTTCCGCAGCCACGTCTACTCCAGCTGGGCTCCCTGGAAGTGATCTGAGAGCCACGCTTCCAGGTGCCATTGCCTCTGCATCTGCTGACTAGCCTTTCTCTTACTTACAGCTGTGTCTTCGCCATCGTCCTTTACAATGAAGACAAACACACTGAGCACGTCGGTGCCTAATTCCTATTACCCAGGTAACAGATTTTTCCATCATTTCACCTTTCATAAGCTCGGACTCAATCAGTGCTCACCTTGCTGTCCATGATGCTTTAGGAGCTTGATGTGTCTGATGTCTTATAACCCGGTGCTTTCTATGGCTTTCTGGGGGAATATCGAGGGGCCTTTCATCAATCATTTACTGTTCTTTCTCTTTTTACTTTCTCTGCATTGACCTGCTTATGATGTATGACAGACCCATTTGTGCCAACTGCAATTTTAGGTGAGAACATTTCCCTTTATCACAGTTTATTGCAGGAGTAATTTAGAGAGTCAGTGGCCAGTCTCTGGGAGAAGGGAGTTTTAATTCTGTATGATGCAGTGATTGCAAGTAGGACACAGGGGTAGTGGGTGGTCTGGGCTGGGGGCTGGAGAGTGGGGACGTGGAGAATAAAAAGACTTTCTCCAGATAATCTTTATTGCCTCATGCATGTTGGAAATGATACCAAAAGGCTCAAATGAACAATCTCAGCTCCAATAGTGTCCCTTTCTGTGTTCCAAATGTAAAGTCAAGTCTGATCCCAGAAAAAAAAAAAGCACAGTATGCAATTGCTCAGCTGTTTACTTCCAAGAGCTGAATTCTGTCCAACGTGACAGTTGTAAAAGTGAAAATAGCTTGTTACATTCACTTACTGCTAAGCACTAACATCTTCGATTTCAAAAATAGCATTTTTGTAATTACAGTATGCCGAACGTCATGCAGAAAAAATGATTACAATAGCGTTTTGGCCCTTTACCCTTCCTCAGAGACACTTGGGGCACCCCGCGTTCCAAAGTGTCTGCTCACAGCGGAATTTCAAAGGAGCTGATGTTCCCAACAGCAAAAGGACAAGATGGCACTTTATAATCACATGGTTTACTATGTGTCAGATGTCACTGGAAGTGAAATAAAAAGTTAGAAATAAAACATGGGGCAGAACTGTTCCCAGTGGGGAACGAGAGGGGACAACATCCCTTCTGTCGGGCATGAGAAGGGTGAGGGGAAATAGCACTGCCTGGCAATGAAATGGCATGACCAAACCAGGAGGAGCTGCTACTGCATACAACCCGCATGTAGCACGGCTGTGTCCTCTTTCTACCACTGACCTTGCCAAGGAGCTCAGCTCTAACGGCTTCAAGGTACATAGCAAGTCATTTAGCCGGAGCTCCATCCTCAGCCGTGACGCCTCCTGACTCTCTTTACATGGGTTTATGTCTTTACAACATAACTTTTCCCCCTGTGCTTCTCTTTTCTCTAAGTTGTTATGATTTTTGTAAAGAGGGTGATTATTTTTTTTCTTATGGTCATTTCTGGGCTTAAGCAAATTCATTGCCTGAGGGGGAAAAAATGAACTCAGAAGTATAAGAATGGGCATAAATCAGAATTTTTGAATTTGCATGATTTTTGGTGGCTAACAAACAAAACCCATTAAAGCTCTCACCTTTTAATACCGACTATCAAGAGGGGGAAAGCTGCATTTTTATTCTTTTCATAAGTGAAGGGGCGTGGGCTAATTTTAGGCTCCTGAACAATGCCATCTACATGCGGTTGACATTTGCAGCATCTTTGGATAGGCAAAGATTTGCATTTCTTTGTGTGCTGTGCCATTCATTCCCGGCTCCTCCGGTAGACATGCTGACCTTGGGGGGAGCTGTGCGTGGGGAGGGCTGAGCTGTCAGAGGGAAGAAAATGTTCAGGTTTCACAGCAGGATTTAGATAAGCTTATTAAACAAATATCATTTTTTAAAGTCGCTGCTTCGTTATTATGAACACTAATGACATCTTTTAAAGTTGGTTAGGCTTCTTTACTGAAAGAGAATCATTTGAACAGATAATTCAAGGAGCAAAAATGATGCACATTGTGAAAAATAAGTCAGCCATGGCTAGCTTATACACGGACCACCATAACAAAGGGTGCTGCTTGGGAGCTGTTCTTCCACATTATTTGGTGCAAATGTGAATCTGGTGTATACTAAGGATTAGTGAGGTTATCGCTGAGGGAAGATAAGCTGTATATCCACTCTGGTACCTTTTGAGAGTAGAACTAGAATCAGTTTAGAAGAAATGTTTCTTGTGACTCAGAGCTTGGCACAATTAAGTCTTCTAGTTCCTCCACCTTTTAATCTCACAGGTTAAGGTCCCCAGTCCTGATGTATAGAGTTTTAGTATGCCTGTACATCATTTTCTAGCAAAAACAAATAAGATAAATAGATGGATGGGTTGATCAATTGATCGATTCTCCCTGACCTCAAAAACATAGCATTTATTTCAAGGTTTTTTAGCTAGCTTGTTGAAAATTCAAGATATTAAAAAATATAGGTAGCATTCATTCTCTGTTCTTAGAAAACCATCAGAACTGTTAGTGAGAAGTTTTATTTCTAATTTCCTATTATGAATACTTTTAAATGTAAACATATGTCAGTGGGTAAATTTTAACAAATGTAGGAAATTAATGTCAAATTGTATGTTTTTATCAGTAATAATTCTTTTTTAAGAGGTTTTGTGGACACTGATTTCTCATTAACGTGGGTGGAACCAAGAATTTCTACCAGTTTAGGTGACCTAATTTCATAACAGCTATTGCACAAGGAACGTTCTATTTCCTATTTGAGATCTAAATGATAGATAAAAAATACTCTTTTCTTAGATGGTCTCAGTAGTGTTTAAATGCTTCAGGACACATCCACACTGGTAATGAGGCCGAGATGTCACAGTGCCGGGAGATGATGCATATGATGGTAACAGTGGTTTTAACCACGTGGTTAAAACTTCCAAGAATGTCCCAGCCCTGGATCACAGCGCTGCTCGGTCACCAGCTTATCCACTTAAGAGACCCAGCTGATTAATTTAAGGGAAGTTTAGAAGGTCAGTCCACAATGGAGGGCATTTAATTATGTTCATCCCAAAAGGTGCAAAAGTGAGGGAACGAGAGAGGCACAGGCGGGAACTAATTAATGTGCCATTTATTTTAGTATCAAGAAGAAACTTTCTACGGGGGTAGCTAAAGCTCCATGGATTCAGTACTTCCGGAGCAATCCTGTATCCCACTTTATGAGCTTGGCAGTGGCCAGCATGCAAACCTGACATGAAAATCTCCTGGTTGATTTGTGATAGTTCTAATAAAATGAGAACATAGGGATTTCTAAATTTCGAAGTAATTCCAGATGGGGAAAAAAAATCATAAAATCAACTTACCACCCTTTTTATTTTGTCTTTGTGTCTTTAGCCACCTTGTAGTGATCCAGGTGCCATTTCAGCAACAGCAACATAGCTACACACTTGTGTACCACCTTTCATACCATGCATCCCTAGGTGCTTTGCAATGCAGAGAGAAGGGAGGTTTCAAAACCAGGCCCAGCTGATCAGGCACCCTTGAGCTAAATTTCCTTTGGACCTGAACTTCTCAGTTTAAAAAACAAACCCCATAACTGAATTCCCTGTTGATACACAATCTGGTAATTAAAAAAAAAAAGAACAAATTTTTTATACCTGAAATAGATTCTTATTGACTATCCTCATTTTAAGTGACTTTGCATTATATTTTGATGAGACACATCCTCAATTATAAAACAGCTAAAGGTATTCAGCATTATTATGCGTTAACCTGTAGACTATGAAACTCTTAATCTAATAGCACTTTCCTACATAAGACATTTTTTAATAGCTACAATTTCTGCAGTTCACTCATCTAATTTACTAGTAGTCTTCCATCAAAACACAGCCTCTTTAGGCTTATTTGACCAAATTTTCACATTAATTTTGTAATACAATTTGGTTGACCTATTTAAGAAATTCAAATAAGAAGCCTTAGTTCTTACCTGGGTTCTTGGGGGATGAGAAGCAATTGTGATACTTCTTTTACTCCTTTTTTAACAGAGTACATAAACATCTCCATCCTTACAAGATGGGAGACTTGAGGCTTTGCCCTCTGACCACCTCTGTATAGAAAACTTAACTGTCAAATTAAAGCACAAAATAAAAACTACCTGTAATTATTCACACAGTATTATTGCTTATGCCCTGTTTCCTTTTTCTCCTCTTTTCTCCTGATATGTACCTTCTTAAAAGTGCCAATAAATGGTAAGTTCCCCCATTCGCCCCATGGAGAAGGTGTGGAGGGAATGGGGGGTGTTTCTCATCTGTAGACCCTGACAAAGCCAGCTGGCTCTGCTGCGTGTCGGCCTGCATGTTAGCTCCTGTAGAACATTCCATGTGTGATGTGCTGGTCCACAGTATTTTGTCAAGCTTTCTGATCCTGGAGCATGCAAAGTGACTCATCACTTCCCTTTCCTTTTCCACTTTTCTTTGATTTCACCTATCAAGTCCATTCTCATTGCTAGCTTTGTAAGCCACACCATTTTGTGCACTTTTATTTTGCTCACAGAACATTTGTACAGACTTCATTTTCTCCATCATACAAATTAGGTAACAAATCTTCAGAAGAAATCCAAGACTGGTTTAATACCAAGCCTTGATGAAGTTTCAGACTGAAACTTCTATAAACTTAGCACCCGGAGGCTAAAGGATTCTTACCAACCAGCTTTGTGAAAGAAATAGATCGTTTAGACTGCTTTGTCAAAAGCAAGATTTCTGCCTCATCCCTATCAGTGTTGCCAATCCCATTTAAATTTCTAAACATTTAACTTTCCTTTTTTTGCTGAGCCATTGTAGGGATTATTGCAGCTATAGGTTGAGGGGAATGCCAGCACCAGTTCTTAGCATTTTCAGTGACTTTGACATCGCCTGCTGGCTCACCCTCACTTTCTTCTTAACTTCTTCTCTTAGACGAGACCCACACGATGGCCAGTGACACCAGCAGCTTGGTGCAGTCGCACACGTACAAGAAGCGCGAGACCGCCGAAGTGCCCTACCAGACGGGGCAGCTGCACCCCGCCATCCGCGTAGCAGACCTGCTCCAACACATCACGCAGATGAAGTGTGCCGAGGGCTACGGCTTCAAGGAAGAATACGAGGTGAGCATGAGCTCTGCACCAGGGCCCCTCTCAGCCCTCCTGAGCATCATGCCAGGCTCTGTGCTCCCAGCTCACTCAGCCAGCCGGTGGGCCCCATGAGGGCTGCCAGAAAGAGAACAGGTATTCTAGCCATGGTTCCATTTCCATCTGGTAGGGAGATGCATTACTAGGTCGTGAGTGTGCATTAAATGCAATGAAAACAGAGGCCCACCAGGCTCTCATCCCCACTCGTGATCACTTCGTTGGCTTTTCCTGTAATTAAATATGGTGTTAGATCCTGATGATTTTGTGTAGTTAACCCAGGAAGAACCTACTCACTTAAAAAAATTATTGACAACCGAAGTCATGTCATGTGGTGGAGATTAGAAGACTGGCTAGTGTCATCCTCGTGACAGCTGGGATTGTCCAGCCAGCCCAGGAGCACGTCGCTGACCCAGGGTCTAGTGTGACAGCATTCAGGGTGTTTCCAGGAGTGGCAGTATTCTCTGATCCTGTGTAAAATGTGGGGCTCATCTCTTTCACAGCCTCTGTCATTGACCAATTCTTTTGGAAAGTCATTCAAGAACTAAAAAGAATGAATTTATTTTAAGAAGTATGATTCAAAGAAGCCCATGCTATTTGAGTGTCTGAGTCAGGGGAGTAGGTTTCTCTTTTTACTTGTTAAAATTAGGTCACAGTCACTAGTGAAGAAAAGGTAGCATGCTTATAGTGAAAATAGAGTAGATAGATCATCATCCCAAAGATGGAAGGGTCCCGGGTTTGATTTTCATCAAGGGTATGTACCTCTGATGCAGGCTTGATCCCTAGCCCTGGAAAGGGCATTCGGAGGCAACCAATCAATGTATCTCTCACATCGATGTTTCTCTCTCTCTCCCTCTCCTTTCCACTCTGAAATAGAAAAAAAAAAAAAAGGTAGGATTATATAGTTATGTGGTTTTTTTAATCTTAGAATGTGTTTCTGGTGCCGTATCGACCTGACCAGCCCACAGTTAGAGAACATTTTGTCTGCAATGAGAGTATTTTTAAATCAGTTCCTATCATCTACATATCCTACAAGTTTCAAACTGCTTCATCTCCTCTTAGGGAGCATTTGATACTTCATATTATGCTCCAGGAGCTGTGTTGTCTTAGATTTAACTCCATTTCCGAACTTGCTGGCCAGGCTCCTTATAGCAGTGAGAGCCATACCACTGCAGTGGCTGATCCTTTAAGTCCAGTTCTCCGCTCCAATGCAGACAAATAGACACACTTTGTCTGCTGACATGTGCATCCTTGTATGTTGCCAGTGGACCTGTGTTCAAAGACAACAAAGCCAAAGAAATGAACTCAAACCAAACCCCAAAGGTTTCATTTAAGTCCAGGAAATATTTTCAGATCAAGTGCTGCATTTTAGCAACCTTGAAATTCTTATTTAGTGACTATTTTAGTTTTACCTTTAGTGATTTATAATTCAGTGAAATTGACTGCCTTTGCATATTTCCTCATGCACTTTTAAAAGCTAGCTTAGGAATTAATGGGATTAAGAGTAAGACTTCCAAAAGCATTAATATCTTATGAAAGACAAAATTAGGTTATTGAGAAAATATAAGCCTAGTAATGTCTGACTTCTATCCAATATTCTGAATGCAAGTATTACTCAAATGTTTATTAAAGATATTAATGTCAAAGAGATTAGTTATAGGCTCAAATAATAATTCATAAAGTAACCTGATAATTTTTCATGGACTATTTAAAAAATATCTACCTTTTCACTTCCTATAACACACTATAGGTGATACATATTTGAAAGTGTGCAAAAATGTATTTTCTATTCAGATATCCTGAAATATGACTTGTAAGTGCCAACAATGATACTCATTGTAAGCGTCTTATAATTCATGATTCACTGAGTAGTTGTACTTTGAAATAAAATGCTTTACTAATTTAATTACATTTTAAATACCCTTTTTCTCATTCTAGCTAGTCAGTAGATCAGAAAGGACTGCTTAAAAATAATATGGTCAAGGGTACCAAATCATCACATTAAAAATCTTAAATTTACTTAATGTTACATATCAATCATATCTCCATAAAGCTGTGGACAGAAGTAAATACTTAAACACCAAAACCATTTTAAAACAAAGAAAAAGAAAGAAGAAAAATGTGGGGGGGAGAGGGAGAACATATGCTAGAGAGGAAAGCAGGAACAAATAAGAAGGTGCTATTGGGAGAAATATGAAATGGAATATTCTGTTAAGAAGAATCCTAGCACTGAGTGATTTTCAGATGATTAAATGCCCCTCCTGGGGGTCAGGGGAGGACAAGGTGCTGATGTTGGCAGGAAGAACCTGGTGAGACAGAGAAAATGGGACATATGACAGATGCTGATGGGTAGGGAAAACTGCAGTGGCTGCAGGGAGACAGGGATGCCTGCTAAGCTATGTCTCACCTCAAGCCTGGAGTCCTACCTTTGTCATCCTTACCTGCATGTGTCACTGAATCACATGACCAGGTCTTTTCTAGAGGCACAGCCAGGCTGATGAGAACTAAAGGAGCTGTCCAGGCTGTATTTACTGTGCTCTACATTCTCTAATCTTAGGGAATATTTATCCTAGGATGAATCTAGAAGCCCTCTGGCTATTACTTTTTATGTTTATTTAGCTTTAGAACTCTAACCAGAGGTACCTCTTTGATGGTGCAGTGAAGTATACATCTTCCCTTTAACATGTCCCAGGAGTCAGGAGTGTTGTGCGGCCTGGCTTAGTGTGATTCCCTCAGGGCAAATACTAAGAGGCCATGGTGTGGGTCTGGGCTCTGGCTCCAGACTGCCTGTATGGCAATTCAACTACTAGCTGTGTTACCTTGAGGAAGTTGTCTAACCTCTCTGCATCTCAATTTCCTCATCCTTAAAATAAAGTAACTATGGTATCAACCTCATAAGGTTGTATGAGGATTAACCCACTTAATGTATCATGACGTTCAGTTGAAGTCTTAGCTAGTAAAAAAAAAAAGGCGAATACTAACACATGGTGGGACAAAAGTAGATTTAAAAATGTTCATCTGGAAAACAGTACATTAATAAATAAGAATAAAAGAATAAACTGTTTTTGCATATTTACAACTGTAAACCTACTTTTGCCCTACCCTGTATAAGATTCAAAAGCAGAAGTTCACACAGTGTCCTTTATAGAGGAACTGTGACACACTGTGGTTCAGTACACATCTGTCATCTCTTGTGTTCAGCACTCTGAGGATACAGTGAGCCAGTCACTCTTTATGGAAAGGGCTCAGTACATTTTCGCTTTAGCTATAGAGCTAAGTAATTTCCCTTCTATTTATCATATAGCATCAAAAGCTCCCATTAAAAAGTAACTTACATAAGTAGGTAGGTTCGATTATGTGAATAAAGTTTGAGAATTGAGAAAGTAAGTATTTTTAAATCTATGCTATCACATGTAATTGCTAAAATAGTTATTTTCATATCGGTTAGGAAAGTCCTAAGGAATGTTATAACTGGAGACCATGGAATACTCTTTTCAGAAAGAAAGGTCCTCCTGATGTTTGTGGCAAGGCAGGGTTTAGGAGAAAGTTTAATTTAATAAATTGCTCTTAATTTACAATAGAACACTGAACAGATGCTGTGAATCTGACACTGCTGGGTACTGGGTGCCTACCCTCCAGAAGAAAGCAGCCACATAGCAAATGCAGTGGGTTAAACCTCACAAGAGAGACTTGTGGTGGTGCTTTTAAGGCCACTGGGGACATCTGAGCCAGTCTGGGGTGCAGCTCTGAGTTAGAAAGACCTTCTCCTTAAAGGGTGAGTGGGAGTTGGCAAGGAGAAGGTAAAAAGAGGGCAGATCTCAGGAATACACAAAGTAGAACAGGGTGCACTGGGAAACAGGCCTGAATCCTAGGGGAGACTGGTGGGTACAGGAGTCAGGAATCCAATCATGAAGGTCACTTGTGTCATAGTGGAGAGCTTGGACTTGGACATTATTCTGGAAGCATGGAAAAAGAAGAAAGACACAGATAATGTGATTTTCTTTCCTGTACTTGGACGAAGATCTATTTAGTACACACAGCTTAATTGTTAAACATTATCTGCACAGGGCACACAGGAGTTGATCAAAAGATAATAAGCAACACCCAAGAAAGAAAAGGGAGAGGAAAATATATCATGGAGAAAGCATAAGAACTTCATCTCTCTGCCCCTGTTTAGAAATGCTATGGCATGCTTGGCGTGGACACTTGTTGAAGCTATGAATTACTTCAGCACTGGAGCATGCGTGGGGATAAATGTCAAGAGAGTCCCCAGTTGCTACTGTGACTCAGAGTAATCATCCAGTTGGTCCTCCTGATTTTCTTCACCCCATGTACATTGGGGAAACCAGCCATCTAGATTGTAAATAGTTTTGAAACAGTGACTTTCTCTGCTGACAGTGATTCAACCAATTCATCTTTATCTTTTCCAAGACAGACATGTCTGAAAATTGGCCTAAACATGAGAAGGATTTATTACTGTTCAAGTAGGCAACAGAAGTGTGTCCATACAAAAGGGAAAACACGTGGTGGGGATGAGACGGCACGGTGCTCTGTGCAAATTTTGTATTTGATTTTGTTCTAACAAGATCGTCGTCTGGCACGTCTCACTAGGGAAATGCAATAATTTGATTCAAAAGAAACTCAGACATGAATCACAATAGCAAAGTAAACAGGTTGAATTGAACAGAAAATGGCATATTGTCTGTGGAGGGTGGATGGGGATCTCTGGAGAAAGACGGAGGGGAAAGGGCAAGTTTATCTGCTTTGCTATGAAAGAGGAACGGGTTCTTTTTCCCAACAAGTAGAGTGGTGTGTGCTAACCCCTTAGGAAAGTCTGTGGGTTTTCAAAGAATGAAAAAACGGAGTTAGCTGCTCTGAAGGGAAGCAGTGAGGACTGAGCTGCTGTGCACCTACAGACTTCTGGGCCTGTAAGACCTGGGGTCAAGAGGGTGATAGGCCCCAGGATACAGCAGCAGCTA